TAATTGTTCACTTTTTAGATAACTGAAGAAAATGGGGAAACAAAAAGATCTTTTGTTAAGCAAGAGTGTATTAATTTTGGATATGAAAGTTCCTATCCTGTTTACACTTCATCCTCTTCATCTCCTTCAACTGTTACACAACCTCTACCAGGACAACCACCATTACCTCCTATGCCACCTCCTCCTTCTAGTGGTGTTCCACCACCTCCACATGTATTTGGACCAGTGCCTTCTCAAGTTACACCAATACAAGCATGGACACATCCTTCTGCACCATGGCAATGGATAACACCTCAAACATCTCCTTTACCTCCACTACCTCCACGTGATATGACTGCAAGTTCATTTCAAAGAGAAATGCCTCTTAGAGGTAACTGCATGAGAAGAGAAAGGTTTACACACAATAAAAATAGTATATATATTCAAAGAAATAATTTTCATCGTAAAAATAGAAGACTTGCTCGTTTTGGACATGCTCAGGGTCAATTTGATCAAGCAGCATATTTTGGCGCAACATTGAGTAACAGTCTTGGTTTGGAATGGCAAAGAAATAATTACACTCCATCTACAGGCGATACAATTATGAATCACATGCCTGTTCCTCTTCCTAATCATCCTTTGCCTCCTATACCACCAGGAATTTTGACAAATAGACATGGAGATGAAACTTCAGATCAAGAAGTTAAAGTTGTTCTGGTAAGAAACAAGATCAATAATAATCAATATATTTATTTTATTTAATTACTCATTATTTATTTTAGGAAGAAGTTGTTGTTAAGAAGAATAAACAAAGAAAACCTATGTCCCAAAGTTATCCTAGTCGTCCATGGAATAGAGAAGATGCAGAAAGAGCTTTGAAAATTGAAAATGAATATAACAAGACAGTTAAAGCACAGAGTTTAATAATTAAATTTCCAGATCCTGATTTGAATAAGGATATTGTTAGGGAATTTCACCCTGGTATACAAAATATTCATTTTCAAAGTCCTAGTGGTCCTAGATATTGTTTTATACAGATGGCAGAAAGTGTTGATATCGACGAAGCTATAAAAGAATTGGAAAAGATACCTTTTGGAGTAGGTCATCTGAAAGTTGAAAGAAAATCTCTAAGGGATGAAGATAATCCCATGCCTGAAGAAATAGATCCTTATACATTATATATAGGAAATTTACCAGAATCTGTTAATGTTAATGAAGTAAAAAGTAAATTTCCAACAGCTGCTCGAGTAGATGTAGGTTATGCACAGAAAATGAGAAATACTCGGTAAGTTATTTATTTTGTAAAATTTGTAATAATAATATCACATATATTTTTCTATAATACATATTTTGATTTGTTTCATAGGTACGCTTTTATAAGGTATAACAGTGTAGATGAATCTATATCTGCTTATAAACAAGCACATAATTTAATGTGGGATACCAGAAGTATTATTGTTAGGTTTAGGAGACAGCGCGGTAATACTTGTCTTCCTGGAGAACCTAAACCTAATGTTAAAAAGGTTAAAGAAGAACCAAATAGTAATTCACAAGTAAAAAAAGAACAAAAAGCTAATCATACTGAGAAAAGTGGAACAAAATTAGAAACTGATGTAGAAAATAGAATACAAGATAATCCTAGTAAAGTGCAAAGTAAAACACTATCTCAGGTTCAAAACACCATTCAAGAACAAAATGCAAATTTACAATCATCTTCTTCCTCTATACCAACCTCGGTTGCATCAGCTAAATCAACACAGCAACAACAACCATGGGTGAGTATATATATTTTTGGTGAATATATATATTTTGCATTCGGAAAATAGGTAAGGAAGATTAAAAATTAACTTTTTTTTTAGACTGGTCAATCATCTCAAATACCTTCAGCTTCTGAAGCTCCGTCAGAAAGAGAAACTTGTTCAACAGAAAAAGAATCGGTTGCAGAAACGATAATGCTTACAGAAATCAAGGAAGAGCCAGAAGATTATGAAGAAATGGAAATGTCATGTAATATTCGATCTGATGATGATATAGATGATGATGTAGATGACGATGACGATGATGATGATGAAGAAGAAGAAGAAGATAATTCAGATGATAATGATGATAACGAAGACGATTATGAAGATGATGAGGAAGATATAGATGAAAGTGGAAACTTATCATTGAATAATAAACAAGATGTTACAGAAGATAATCAACCATCTGATGTACGTAAAATTTAATGACTACATATATATTAAAAATAAAATAAATCTTTAAATAACATAACATATTAATTAACATATTAATTTAAATAACATATTAATTTTTTATATATTTTGTTTCAGCATCTTGATCAAATGTTCAGTGAATTAGAAAACATGACTGGTTTTTAATATATTGAATTAATTGAATTCCTACACTGATTAATATCCGACATATTTAAAAAAATTACAATGTGTAAATAATTCTAGTTCAAAAGCGAAATGTGTAACAAGTGAGACTGCATTTATTTAAGTATAATGTTAGTAGCTGAGTTATATTTGAATACTTTTGTACTAATATGTTTTTACTTTATAAATTTTTACGCTTACATATATCCATAAAATTCTTTATGTAAACAATTGTGAATATCTCATTAAAATTATTTTCCATATTTTTAGTTTCTTTGAAAATATTTTTTTCAAGATTAATTAATGTAAATCTTAATATTCTTTAAGATTTACTTTGTAATGAGAAACCTTATATTTTTAATTAATTTCTTTTTCTTTTTAAACATTTTATACGAGATACTATTTACTACATAAACTGCAAATTCTTTTTTTTTTACTTGCGTTACTATTCATATATTAGCGACTTGTATGTCCAAAT